TCGATAGTTCAAATAATATAATTACAAATTACAATTCCTATAACGATTTTGCTGCAATTACAATTCCAAATTACTTTAACAAAAAAAAGTACTTAAATACAATTACAATTACAGGATAAAAAAGGGAATTGTAATTGCTAATTACTTTTTCACCAGGAATTACCCAGCTCTGCTGAATTGTTTAATAAAGAGATTCTACTATTTTTTTATTGTGTTGATTCCAATTTCCTCATTAATCCAGTTGCAGATGGAGGATATAATATACAGGGTTGTTCACAATTTACCCAAAAAACTTTCTGGATAATGTATGGTGAAAAATATACAGGGTATCCCGCATAAGAACAGACATGAGGCAGGTGCATGTAGGGATGTCCAAAATATTGTAATTTAACCAAACTTACCTATATAGAAAGTTGTACCCCTGAGGAGTTATTAGCCCCCAAAGTGGGGCCTTAAATTTCAAAAAAAAATAATATCTGTAACACTTTATGGCAGAAGAACCAAATTTGGTACATGATTTAAGTTTATTACTGGTCTTCTTTGACTATGATTTAAAGTTAATCGAAGCACTACATGGTGTTCATTGGGGATGACGGCATAAAATTGTACCGAACTTTTTTTTCATTGACCAAATTGAAAAATAATATTAATTCATAGTAGAATTGATTTAAAAATTTTTTAACTCTTGTTACATTTTAAAAAACTTTTATGATTTTCAAGAAAAACCGTATTAACTGAAACAAGATTTTAACTGTTTATTAGAAAATAATCGAAAAGTCAATTCAATCGAAGAGGAATCACAAATTTGCATAATTTCCACGAATATTCGGATGAAAATCCACATGCTATAATTTCTCGCAATTTTCAAATAAACCTATGGGCTGGTATTGTCGGACGTTATCTGGTTGGGCCAATTATTCTACCAAGCCGGGTGAATGGCGAAATTTTATCATTATTTACCTGGGCTACTCGAGGATTTACCTTTGCAATTAAGACGTCAAATTTGGTTTGTGCACAATGGTGCTCCACCGCTTTTTAGTGCTAATGTACGAGACTTCTTGAAATAGCAGTTCCCGAATAGACGGATAGGACGAGGAAACAATTGTTCAGAAAATTGGCCACCAAGATCACCAGATCTAAATAAATGTGATTTCTTTCTCTGGGGAGCTTAAAAAATAATTTGTTTATTTTACACCGATTGTATCTGAAGCAGATTTATGGAATGGCATAAATAATAAATGCAACCCGATAAAAAATGATCCACAGTTATCGCGCAGAGTAGAGGCAGAAATTTATGTTTTAGAGAAAATGGTGGCCATTTTCAACAGTTATTATAGTGCTAATTAACGATATCGGTAGTTCATGCGGTTAAAGTTGAATTTGTTAATGTTTTGTTTGTAAGCTTCCTCCTTTTTTAATATGTTAAAAACAAAATAAAGAATCTAATTTAATGAAATTACTATTTCTTGATACTTTTTTGTAAACGTCAAAAATGACACATGAAATCATAGCCTACTAGTCGTAAAACTGCATAGGTACTTTACTTTTTGTCCGATTCAATTAGTAATGACGTTGTTTCACAAAATCCCGATTTTCTCAAAAACTGTTAGTTTTTCGAAAAATTTGTAAGACTAAGGAAATGTTTCAAATTAAATTTCCTGTACTCATAAAAAAATCAATATCATTTTGAGGAAGCCCATATTGGGCTTCCAACAAATTCGTATTTGTACCAATTAAAGATAACGACAAAAGCAAATTTGGTTGCTCTATGTTAAGGCATTGCAGAAATATTAATATTAATGTTAGTTGCAGTACATTCATATTGACAACACTGATTTTATTGATCTGTAAGTATAATTTCAGTTTATTGATAGTTTTGTCATAGCTGACGTTTTTTTTATATACAAAAAGTTATGTGTGTAAAAGTTGTTTATAATAAAAAAACTATGAATATGAAAAGAAAAGGGCCTTCTTTAATTGATTACATTAAGAATTAACACTCATCTTCAGAGGCCAATATCTCTTCGACGGTTTCATCCCAGAAAAAAATGTTACATAACAAATCTGCATATTTTAAAAAATACACGTGTCTGCCTTGTATAATTCAAGTGATGCTGTACGACTGTTTAATTATACAGGGTGTTGGAAGTTTGACTGCCTTAATTTTAACAGACGATAGAATACATTAAAATAAACAAAAAAACCTTATATGACATGGGTCCTAAACTCAACCAATTCCGGGAAAAAAATTATCAAAATCTGCAACTTGACGTACAAAAGTTCGATTAATTAAGGAACATCGACATAACTGCCTCCATAGAATACCATAAAATATAATGTTTATCACTTTTTGAACTTCTTTATGCTTAATTCTAAAAAATAATTAGCGTTGTAATAAATTTAAAATTCGATAAAATTCATATCGAGCAATGCGACAACGGCACAGCGAATAACACGAGGTACTAAGGTGTCTAGTCAGCAATACGCAATTCTGTTGATATCTGGAATTGGACCGTGTCTGAGTGTTTTTTGCGGACCACTATTTCCTTTTCTTGAGGTGTCTTCCAGCGGGTGCGCGAAAATTGGATTCGAGGGCGTCGCGCGTGCATCGAAAATGGCGGTGGACATTTTGAGCATATGCTGTAGTTTGTTTTGTACCTGTGCGTTTAAAAATTACTGAATTTTTTGGTAAGTACCTAAATTATTTTTAATACGGATGATTATTAGTCCAGTTACTCAGGGTTTTTACCTCCGAATTCTTTATAACTGAACCGATTGACGTGAAATTTTGACTGAATGTGAGGAATGCCTCAAGGAACAAAACTTATATTAGTGCCGAAGTGTGCTTTTGCCCTGGGGGTGGTTCCCACCCCTTCTTGGGGGGTGGATATTTTTACGCGCAAAATAACCACAGGAATCGATAGAGGAATCAATTTTAAGTAACAAATGTTATATAAAGTTTTATCCAATACTTTCCGAGTAATTCGTCATTGAAGATGTTCATTTTTTACTGAAAAAGTGCTTGTTTTCGGACAGTTTTTTTGCAAATAACTCTGAAACCATTGGATTTAACGAAAAAGTTGTAATGAACAAAAAGAAAGGTAATAAAAAACAAATCTAATGGCATTATTTTGTTTTTCTCTAATTGCAATATAAACCGAGTTATGGATTTTTAAACATTATTATATGTTAGCTAAAAACTAAATTGGAACCAGTTAACGTTAAATAACGCCAAAACCATAAATATTATGGAAAAACTATTTCAACTTTTTTTAAAGTGCTTTGAAAAACCTTTAAAATGAGCTGCTTTAAAAGTCTTTAGAATCAAAATTAACGGAAATATGATCGAAATAACATGATAGTCTCATTTTCTTTAAGAAAAAATTAATAAACAAATCAGTGCCTTTGGCGACAGAATTAAAATTAAATGCAATCCATTTACAGATTTCTTCATTTATGTTCTAAGAATATGTTCTGGGTCTTTGGCTCACTTACAAAGCATGATTTAGAAAAAAAACTTAATTTTTGAAAATGTTCATTTTTCAAATTTTTGAAAAAATCGATTTTTACGCTGTAACATAAAAATTAAAGGATGTACGAAAAAAATACAAGAGTAAAAAAATGTAGCTTTATTTTTGCTGAAGATTTTGCTTTATTTTTTATTCCTCTAAAATTAATATTAATCGAGATAACGCCATTTTAAGTTATCGTATGAATGAGAGAACCACCCTTTTCGAGCCCTTTAAACCCTTCAAACTTAAAAATGAAGGGCTTAAAAAAGATCAACTCGACAGTTCACGTAGCCCCTACATTTCCCTGCAAAATGAGCATTTGTGCGATTAAAAATCTTTAAAAGTAAGGAAGTTATGGTCAAAAAAATAAACACGTGTATAGGTGATAATTTTAGGAAAATTTAGGTCAAACAAGAATTTTGAAGCATTTAGATCTTTTTTGTATATATATACGTATTTAGTATGTGTATATTCAAATAAACCAGTACTATATTATAATACACACTATACTACACACACACGCGCACACATTTACACACACACATATACAGGCTGTTACAAATTCGCTTCTCACTACAGGGATCTCGAAAACGGTAAGAGATACGAACTAGCTTAAATGGGGGCAAAGTTGCGTAATCAGGGGATCAACATTATGCCTCTGAAATTTTGGAAATCCGTTTTTGTTTCATTTCAGCTTTGTTTGAGGTGATATTGAAAAAAGAAGAACACTTTCTCGTGGCAACTTTTTGCCCTCTATCGAATGGCATAATCAATTTTTATATGTAACGTTTCGTCTCTCCAGGACCATCATCAACTTCATTTTCTTAAATACAACCCTGCAAATTTTATTGCATTTGTTGCAAGCCTTCATGACCCCCAATACTGTACTGCCTCAGCCCTAACCAGATTCAGACGTTTTGTCTCAAAAAATTCATCTTCAGTGTATTTGTTCCAAATTTATCTAATTTTTTTATTTAGATTTCTTTGTTTATTAAATTATCGTACACTCTAAGTGTCGTTTGACCCTGTGAGATCTATCTAGTTATTTAAAGTATTAATTAATAAGGGTTGAAAAGTTGCAATCAATCCAAAATTAGTTTATAAGAAGGGAATAAATGTTTATTTAATACGAATGCACATTTAAAATGTTTCTACTCTTTCAATAATATTTTTTCATTTTATTTTCGAAAGAAAGGGTATTTTTCGAGGGTTGAAAAGTTGCAATCGATAAAAAAGTTTTTTTAATCAAGAAATCAATTTTAATTTGATAAAAATGCATGACTAAAACGTTTCAAGTTGAAAAAAAATTTTTTTCATCCAAAGGGGCAGTTTTTAAAGGTTTTTCCAGGTTGAAAATTTGGGATACATTAAGTTTCATGTTAGATAGCACATGAAATTACTCATACTGCATAAATAAAAAATATTTGATTACATAAAACGCTTAAATTTGTATTTTTTCTTTTTTTTTCCTGTAAATTAATGAACCTGTAAATTAAAAAATATATTCAACGTGTATAAATATTTTATAAAAATAATGTCATGTAAATCAAGTTGCATTAATATACAGAATGTCTCGTTAGCGTTGGATTTTACTGTACAACCCTGTATATCTTTTTTCTAAACGTTAAAATGTTCTTGTACAAAGTAGGCATGTCCAAGTGGTCGATTGTGGTGTAAAACTGGCAGTTGTCCGTGATTTTAAACGCTCGCCAGACGTGTATCCTGGCTGCGTTCCTAGCCAATTCCAGCAACGAACGCACTCTCGGTAATTCACCTAAAATAGCCATCATTCCTTCATCGTCGCTATATTTTACCGTCAGAGCATCGATTAAGCGGGGACAAATAGAATACTCCAACAACTGCACCACGTTCTTCCTAGGAATATCGTCCGCTTCGTCGACGGCGCTCTCTAAGTCGTAGTCGATATCTAACATTAACCTTACAAGGGCCATATGAGGTAGCCAACCTCGCGTGAAGTCGTTATCCATATACAACAGTAGTCTGAACAGTTCGCAGTACCCGTAGCGGGAGAATATCGCGTCGATATCGTAACTACTGGCGTGAAACCCGTACTCTATCAAACGACACGTAAGAGCTGTCAGCTGTTCGAGCGCGTATTTCCGCGAAGCGAATACAAAGACGAACACCCTAAATGAATTCGTGCACAAAAACTTCGTGGCTAATTCAAAATTATCACTCTCGATTATAACTTGGAGAAACGTCGGCACCACTTCCCTATAGTTCAACAAACGGAAGAAATCGATCTTGGCTTCGTTGTAACGGAGCCTCTCCCACACCATCTTAAACGTAGACGGATCCACAGAGTTCTGTAAACAAGCAGAAAACGCGCTCGTGTCCCTCGGATCGTCACCGTAATTGACGTCAGCGCCACGTTCTATTATGTCTTTAGTAAACGGTGAGTTGGTACAAAGAGCCAAGTTCAAAGTCGAACCGTACTTTTTGCCGCCGTAGCTGGTTCTGTTGAAGTCGTCCACGTACTCTAGCAAAGCCTCCTGGGCTTCGAGATTACGACACGCGAGCGCCTCCATGAAAGGGGTACGGCCGTACAAGTCCACAATGTTGGAATCGGCGTTGTAGTACAGCAGCATGTGCATTATTTCTAGACGTTTATTGCACACCGCTTCGTGCAACAACGTGCCCCCAAAGTCGTTAGTGATATCGATATCAGCGCCGTGTCGTATGAAGAGCTGGCAGATTTTCGGAGACCCCTGCGACATGTGCAGAAGGGGGTAGGAATTGTCGTTGTAGACGTCCAAATCGGCTCCAGCTTGAACGAGTCTCTCCGCTGATTCAAAACGGCCCAATTCGGCTGCTAGTATAAGAGGTGTTCTGTCGTCATAGCACTTAATGTTCACGAATACGCCTTCCCTCGACAGCAAGTATTCCAATATTTCGATACTGGAAAAACATACGTAGTGTTAACGATGAAAAGTTTCGATTCTCAAACGACTCACTTGTCTCATAATTGCTAAATGTAGAAGAGAGAACTGGCTACGAGGCAGTCTTTCATTTATACGATGTCCCTTTTCGATTCCTTGTTGCACCTCAGGAAGATTCCCCTCAAATACTGCGCGGTAAACGCCGTTTACAGTTAAACGACGATAGGTTTTGTCCGTAATCTAAAACACAAAACTGTTACGCTGAATTCTAAGTCAATATGCACTTACATCAAACGACTTAAACTGATCAAATCCCTCTTCGTCGGACATCTTTAAGTCGTATATGAGCCTGGTGCGTTTGTAACCAACGAAACCGATTTTACTTTTACGGGAACAAACCTAAAAAATACTTAATTATATTTTTGTGCATTACAAATTACATCAATTATAATTTACATCTATTAAGTCATATTTAAGTATGTGAAACTCAGAAATAACAATATTATTCTATAACTATAATCTAATAGTAGACTATAACCTAACCCCACTTTCCCAACCCTTCCTTTCTGTCAATGATCTATCAATTTAGGATGGCCGCGGTGCTATTGGAGTTATACGACTTAAACCAACCCAATCACTATTAAAAGAAGAAGAAATCAACTGAAACTTGGGGTAGTCACTTCGCGTCAACAAGTTGGTGTCTAAGGTACCAGAGATATAGAGCTCTATATCTCTGCTAGGTACTTTGTGTTCGTAGATGCATTTAGCACAGAATTAATTGCTAACACTAGAATCTTTATATTTTCTCATTTAATTATGTACGTTTTCATTAGGATATACCAGCCTTGCGTTTTAATATTTAAATTTTTGTTTGCAAAAAGTGACTTTTGGCGTTGAGGAACGTCCACCTACACCGAAATTCACTCTCACGTGAATCTTCGAACGTCGCCCGATACCGCACCCAGCACACGCATGCGCAGTTCGAGCCCAAGTCGTTGTTTCGTTGCTAGGTAACTTGAAACTTCAAAAATAAATAAATGACACTTGTATTTTAAAGCGTTTAACTGCAAGTTTTAAAAGATTTACATATTATATACAGTAATTATTTAAGATTAACTTGACATAAATGCATAATATGAAGAAGGAGCATATGCTTGTGCCCGGAAAACCGCCTTATGAACTCACAAAGGAGTACTTACAATCCAGGACAGCGACTAGGGAGATGATCATGTTAGTATGCTCATTTTGGACGCTTTAAGTATCTTCTGCGAAGTAGTAGCACGCGCTATTTCAAAGCCGATGTGATCTAGCTATGGTTTTAGTTTAAGTTTGCTTTGTGATTTTAGGTTAGCCGACTGCGGGGACTATATTCGCGAAGCAAACGTCAGAACCAGAAACTATTTCGCCAGGCAGGGCTTAGTTAAAGCTGAGAAACTGCTCGAGTCCAAGAGAGTATTAGCTGCGAGGAAACGGATCGAGCTGGACGAGCAGTGGGACGATATTCAGAAGAGGGAGAGCGAACTGAGACAGATGTTCATCAAATTTAACCAGGTAAGAGTTGATGGACCATACAAAATTAAGAGTTTTATTCACGAGTACCTACGCGTTTCATAGTTCATCATAGAAAATAACGACAAGCGGACGAGGGCCGATCAGAGAATATCGGAACTGAAGAAATTGTGGGAGATGCGGGAGAAACAGATCGAGAACACGCTCAACCAGTGCGATAAGCTGGAGAAAGTCAAGAAATTGATGTCCAGCAAAATCGTCTTGTACAAGTTGTACGAGGTGAGTAAAACTGGTAGTTGTCCGTTTTTAGGTATGAAAGTGTGCTTTGGAAGTGTAGAAACAATCGCTACCTGTGGTGGTGTATCAGTGTGCTTTGAAAAACAATTGCTACGTCTAAGAAGGAGTTGATGATGATTTTATATTTATATTCGGGTGGTCAAATACGGAAAAAGTCCCATGAAGTTCAGAAATTCTACATTTTGACGTAATGAGTGTTGAAAGATATAATTTTCTAGTATCTCTGAAGATGTTTGGTGTAGTGATAAAACTTGGATTAATTATTATTTTTTTAAAACTTCTATATCTTTGAAACGAAAAAAGATTTTTTTACGAAACTTTCAAAATATGTAATCCTTGGCAAGTAGAATAAGTGAATTTTTGTAAAATTGCAAAATATTTGATAGTTTATGCAAAAATCGAGTTTTTGGAAAGAAAGATATTTTTCCAAGTTTCAATAATAATCAAAAAAAAATTTCTCGGCTCCTGTTGGTCGTAGGACATTTTTTTATAGGACTTTTTATAAAAAATTCGTTAAAAAATGTCAGCTTTCAAATGGCAATAATGCCATTCCGATTAAATTTCAACGATAAGAAAAAGATCTACATTTTTCGACAAAAAAAAAAAAATAAATCAAAGTTTCGGTAGATTTGTCGCGAAAATTTTAAGCCCAAGATGGGTCATGTAAGTGCATTACTCGATGATTTATTTAAACTTCAAAACATGTAATTTTTTTTGAAAAACTCAATTTTTGCGAAAACTATCAAATATTTTGCAATTTTACAAAATTTCACTCATTCTACTTGCCAAGAACTACATATTCCGAAAGTTTCGTAAAAAAACCTTTTTTCGTTTTGAAAATATAAAAGGTTAAAAAAAATCGATTTTAAGCGGTTTTACCACGAATTAGCCTTTAAAACCTTTAAATTAAAATTGAGGGATTAGAGGTAATAGCGAAAAATGTGTAATTTTTTAGGACTTCTTGAACAGCTTGGTGGAGATGTTCCCCGAGGATTTCAGCAACGTCCTGGACATCCTGAGCAGGTACGACCTGATAAAACACACCAGCCAGGAGCTGATCGAGCACCAGTCCCTAGACCTGCATCAGCTCGAGGTGGCCAAACGGGAGTTGGTGAGTTTTTTTTAAATTAAAAGCGATTTTTGTAGTTTTAAGATTTCCGTCGATGAACATGCGGAAATAGAAGCTGTTTTTCGTGATCTCGGCTTTTTATGTCGCAAATTTTGGATAGGCGTTGCATTAGACACCATTCGCTGTTTGTTTTATCATTTATAACTTTTTTAAACAATTGTTGGATGCTTGAATCGTATTCCGATGTTCTCGAAAACGTTAAAATTTGTCCAAACGCAGTGAAGGAACGTTACAGTCATAATATTAAAATGTTTTAAAGATGAGAGGCACCACAAATATATTTTTTCTGAAACTGTCGTCAAAAATTGACATTTTCGTTAAATTTTCAGTTGACAAAACACAAAGTGTGGTAATATCGGCCCCTGCATCGATTCTTGAAATTGATTTTTACAGTCGATTCTTGAAATTCAAATTTTTAAAGCAGAAAAAGCAATAAAAAATACGAAAAAATCTCGCAAACTAGTAGTTTTTTTTTGTAATTTAGAACGTGGTGAAAAGTGCATGTTAAAGTTTTTCAAAAATATCTTCAAAGTTGTTGGACATAGATTAATGAAGCTGGTTAAATATTTTGCAGGATGGCAAATTTTGCACATCAGTGATGTTTGTAAATTGTCACATAAATTTGATTTATTCTGCAAAATAACATGAATGCCTTAATTTTGAGGGAAAAATTAAATAAACGCTTCTTTAACTTTATTCGTTTTTGTCATATTAAGGCCCAGAGATGTTTATCATTTGTCGAGATAGCCAATCTCAAATGTCATCTCTTTAAATGTCATTACCACTACTGGCACATGTGCCTACTGACAAAGGGACCTACTAGGTGCCAAAAAACCATGGCTAATACCGCACTAGAGGGAATAGACTTTAATTATCAGTTTATTTTTTTTGTCCCACATTCGAGTTACGGTCTCTGGAAATATAGCAGCTTTTTCGGTATTCACTCGTTAATTGTTAAGAAGTGCACTACCAACGACCCTCACGTTCCCCCCCAAAGAGAATCCCCATGCAAGCGATCCCCGTCCCTAAGGTACAAACAAAAACGCTGTTCCCGACCACTCGACTGAAGAACGGTGCTTTTTTTTCCTTGTAGGCCAAGACGGTGGAAGGGTACTTAGTCCAACTTTCCGTGCTGAACACGCGGGTGGCTTCGTTGCAGCAGCGTCACGAAGACGCCAAGAGGGAGTCCCGGAAGTGTGAGGAGTTGTACGAGAGGATTAGGGCCGAAGCGACGGAACAGGTGATTGACGCGGTCTCCGTTAAAGAATCCTGTTGGAGGATCTACCAGGAGATGTGCGAGAGGAAAGGCGTCGAGCCGGTCTTTAAGGGTAATCACGGGAAACAGCTGGACGTCATCAAGGGTACACTGAGGGATTATCGGCGCATCAACGATTTAGCGAGGAGGATGGAGGCGGAGGGGTTGTACGCTTCGCAGAGGCCTTGTGTGTCCAAAGCGACGGATTAGGGCCCGTTTTCTTCACGATATGTTTAAAATCGGCGGTTTCACTCTATTTGCTCGGCAATTTGGTCCTTTACGGCCGGATCTGGTGACCTTGGATAGAAAAATCTAATTCTGCACGGTTGTTATATATTTAATTGCAATTGTTATGAGTTTATAGGGATCTGCGCACTTTGAGAGTGAAAAAGAGGGTTGGCGTGACCTTTGTCCTCCCAAACTTTTCTGTTTTCAGTTTTAGGACACTTTGCGGTATTGGGTCGGCAGACCATCGAACGTCGGTATATTTAAAAATTAGTCGAGTTGGTTAAATGTAACTGTTATAGTCTTTCCGATATCAATTGAAGACCAAGAGCTAGGCAGTATGTACCAGGTTCCGTCATTGAAATATTTATTTAGCCATAGGTCTGGTCGAACTAGACGTGGGGGTGGTAGAAATGTATGCGTTCAGTTGAAGAATGCACGCGCGGCCAAACGGCGCACAAACACAGCCGCACTGTGCGGCTGGTCATAAATTTCAGTTGTTGGCAAATTGCCTGGCACTGCAGTGCAGCAACGCGGAATTATTTTTATTGTTTATTTTTTGATGTGTCAACCAAAATTTATAATCAATAAAATAAAATTGTTTGAGGACATAAATAATTAAAATATGCATGTTGTGGGCCAAATGAACATATATAATAGAAATTTTCTACACATTTTTTACCGTTAGCGGAAAACTTTTTAGGGACGCGCCTATTATTATCATTAAATTTTATTGCTGGGCGTTTTTATGCATGTTCGGAAAGACTATGCCTATGTGTACAAGTATATTTATAATATTTCGCTATTTTCTGTTTCTAATTACTAATTTTTAATGATTATGGAAATATAATTAATAAATGTCGATCTATATACAATTTCTAATTAATTGTTTTATTTAAGTTTAAAATAGACTTCGTTGGTCATTCATAAATAGCTCTTGTTTACTTGACAACATTACTTGATGGCGATGGGAAAGGGAATCAAGGAAAGGGATAACAATGTCGAAGAATGGTCCACATATTTTAAATTAACCATGGGCGCATCATATAATTTATGTTTGGGGTTAAATAGAACTTAAATTCTTGCTAAAGGCTAGATTTTTCGTATAATTATATAATTTTTACACTATATTGTTTACAGAATATGTTACTGAAAAATTATAGGTATTAATTTCAATTTTTACTACAAAAATTACTTACCGATGAAAAGATATCTGTTGGCCCAGGATCGATGGTTATATATTTTACACACATAACAACGTCTCGCCATTATTTATGTTATTTAACTTAAAGTTTACTACAGAGAAGTGGGTGTTCTGCTGTCGATTTTATAATCCTGGCAACGTTGCAAAATGGTACTTAGAATGTGCCTAGTTGCCGTCAATAGAAAATTAGTAAATATATTTGTCTATATATTTAGAGGTCTGTGGTAATAGGCCGTAATTTAAGGAAGAAGAAGGTTTTAGGTTATGTTACTTAAAGGGCTCAACGAATATTGATTTATAGTGATCTAGACATTACATTTTCTCTCTCTAAAACTCTAAGAATTACAAGGATAACCTGAGCAATTGATGTAAATTTAGTAAACCGCTTTTGTTAGTATTAATCGACATACAAAAGAAATACAAGCACGTATGTTGTACTTAACTTAACCTCAATATACATATGATGTAGGTGGTCTACTAATGAAAGTGACAGAAATAAAGGTGTCCTAAGACGTCTACATTTTAACCGGTGTAATCAACGTGAATATTTTTAGTTTCATCCTATTCAGTTGTATTTAACTTGAAGATGTGTTCAGACGGTGAGACAACGGTGGAATATGAGGTAAACACAGTTTACTTTTTTGTGTGTATTAAGATTTTCCGAAACTGTCGCTTTTTAGCTCGAGAGGCAATCCTATAAGGACCTCCCTCAATATTTGTGTGCGTGGGGGATTCACAAAACAGTCCTAGAAGGGGATTTTGAAAGCTTAAAACTACGGATTGAATCGGGAGAGTACGTAAACAAAAGATTACCGCCTAACAAATTTTCCATTCTACATTTGGCAGTCATAAAAAACAAGTGAGTTGTTTGAAAGAGCGGTTATAAAAATTTTTAACGTTTTCCACTATAGTAAATAATTACCGAAATAACAAAATTTTTCATTTTTAATTCTACATCCACTTTTCCAGTACGGATATATTGGATTTCTTGTTGGTCAAGGAAGGTGTAGAAGTGGACGCCAGGTCCTCTGAAGACAAAACGCCCCTTTACCTAGCGACCGCGTTGGGGTATACCGAATCGGTGGAGAAATTGATCCGAGCTGGTGCCGACGTAAATATCTGTACCCCTCGACAAAACCCCGTTTTACACATATCGGTGCAGCGTCCGGACATCTGCCACCTCCTTATACGGCACGGAGCTCGAATCGACGCCGTTGATTCCTGGGGCTGGACGTTATTGCACGAAGCCGTATTTCGCGAGTGCCTGGAAGTGGTGCACATGCTGCTGTATTACAACGTCGATGTCAATGTTCCCGACGTATTTGGGTGTACTCCTTTCATGAAGGCGCTCGAACTCCGTAAACCCGGCGTCCAGGAGGCTCTGTTAGAGTACGTGGACGACTTCGACAGAGCTAACTGTAATACCATGTTATTCGGTTCGACTCTGAGTTTTGCCCTGCTCGGTAACTCGCCGTTTATTAAGGATATAATAGAGCGGGGCGCTGACGTCAATTACGGTAACGATCCGGAAGTCAGTTATAGCGACGGTGCGTTCCTTGCCTGTTTACGTAACCCCGTTGATTTGTCTGCATTTAAGTTGGTGTGGGAGAGACTACGTCCCAACGGAACTGATTCGGTCAATTTGGTTCATTTTTTGGACATTGTTGAGGTGGAGCTGGCTTTTCTCCAAGTTATAATCGATAGCGATAACTTCCAACTCGCCGTAGACTGTTTGTCCAGACGAAGAAACTACAGCTTGTTCGTCTATCAGTTTGCCGAAAGAAAATTCAAACTTGAACAACTAACCGCTCTGACGTGTCGTTTGTTGCAGTACGGGTTCCGTGCGACCAGCCACAACATTCACACGGTTTTCTCTAACTACGGGTATTGCGAACTATTTAGAATACTGCTCTACATGGATAACGATTTTACACTAGGTTGGCTGCCTCATGCAGCCCTTACAAGGTTAATGTTTGATATCGACTTTAATTTAGAGAGCGTCGCCAACAGAGTGAGCGATATTCCTGCGAAGGACGTGGTGCGGTTGTTAGAGTATTCCATTTGCCCTCGCTTAATCGATGCCCTAACGTTAAAATATAGCAATGACAAAGGTATGAGCGTTTTTTTGGGTGGGTTGCCGAGAGTGCCCTCGTTGGTCGAATTGGCTCGGAATGCGGCCAGGAAACACATCTGGCAAGCGTTTAAGATCTCGAACAACTGCCAGTTTTACACCACAATCGACCACTTGGACGTGTCAACTTTGTGCAAGCACATTTTAACGTTTAGAAAAAGGATATGCAGGGTCCAAAGTCCACTTCTAATGAGGAATGTTGTATAGTGTTACTCGTTTAATGTTGGAAATTTTGAGGGGTTTTTGTGAGGGGGATATTAACCTTAACAAATATCTAATTCGTAAAATATGTATTTCCCAACAGTTCTATGTGTTGATACTTTTATCTCAAATTATTTATTACCAGTAATTGTTTAGGTCTCTTCCTTGTTTATTTGTATCTTCCTACTTTAAATAAAAAAATTAACCAAACAAATATTTGTGTTAAATGGATCACTTTGGTTATTTCTATTAAACTGTGTACATTTATTGGGGAGTCTTTTCAGGAAATAAATACAATATTTTCCTTTAAAAAAATGACATTCTTACACAAAGAACACTTAAGAATAATATCGCTTCTTGCAACTCCTCAAATTTAACCTCGAACAATATCTCTTTAACTAATCTAAGTACGTCAAACAATTGACTCCAGGATCTCCTCTTCTTCTACGAACTTGAAAACAGGTTACTACTGTTTTTGCCTAAACAAAAATCGCAAACTGCAAACCTTAGAGCATATACTACTGGAACCAGCGTCCCAGTGATTGAGAGTGTAGCAGAGGTTTTAGAGAGATAGAGAGAGGGATAGGAGATTTGCTATCTCTCTCTAAGAGCACGCGACTGGCTGCCGTCCTTTCCACTAGCGTCCGATCCCTCCAATCACATGCTGCTAGAGAGAGATGGCATATATCTCTTTCCTTCTCTCTACAACATCCGCTACACTCTTGGACACTGGGACGCTACCTCCAGTAGTATATGCTCTAAGGTCAAGCAGATAAATAAAGAAGGCGCTTCAGTGGAAGACGTAAGAAAGGGAAAAATGTAATAAAATATGTCACTTGTTTGTCAAAAGAGGCGCTGGTGTAACATGAGTTCTCGGGAAGTAGAGTTACCGATCTTTACAATATTTTACTAATGTGAAATGTGGTGCTATGGTCATACACAAGCATTGAATTGTAATTTGGTGTACACAAGACCACAAGAGAACTATTGTAAAGCGATCGTGCAAGACGACCTACATCATTTTTTTGGCTGAACTACTTGAATATTGTAAAATCTCTATAATTTCATAATTTTTGACGTCTGTTTATAATATGTCGACGCGCTTCTTTTTCGATTTTATTTTGGCTGTTTACTCGTAAATTAAATAGCAGGCGCTATTTCTTCCATTCTGAAATGCTTTATTGTTGTTTGACAACTGTAAAAACACTCGACCTTATAGCATTCTTCGATCTTTTCCAATTAAAGATTTGGAGGTAAGTAAATACACGTGGTTTCATCTAATAAAACAGTTTCTAATTAGTAAATATTTTTAGATTTATAAAATGTGGATAAATAGAATTGGAAACCTTTAGCTTAAAGTAATATTTCCATCCTTACTCCATCCATATCGCTGTGATATTATCTATCAAACAGATCTAGGTAGCTGAGTTAGTTCATCCTAAAAATGTTTTGGCGTTGCAGTTGTTTGATTAACTGCTTATACCCTCACTCCTTGACTCACGGCGTGGGGTCACGCGGCAAAAAGCCACTTAAAGTCATTACAGGCTGTGGAAAACATAGCCCTCCGCACGGCCACCGACGCGCCCTGGTACGTAAGAAACACTGACATATTACGAGACTTACAATACACAAACGCTACACAGACAATAAGACAAAACGCGGAGAAACGGTTTGACGTAGCCGCTAGACATGACAATCCCCTCCTCAGGCAAGCCGTTGACTACGTACCCGACGTGACCGACAAACACAAAAGACCTAGACACCAACTTTTTGACCCTGGGTGACCACCCCAATGACCCCCCCCCCCTGCCCGCTAACCTTTTCTGTTTCAGAGACAGCCAGGATCAAGAAACGAAGACAACGACACACACACACACATACACACCCCCCATACCCTCCTTAACCCTCCCCTCCCGCGCTAGCCTAAGGGCCACCTTAGCAAAGCGCATCCCAGGCTGCAAGGAGGTCCCACAAAGCGCCTACACCGGCCGCATTTGCAATCGGGGTAGACGACGGATGGGGCCCACCTACGAAGGCTGTCCAGGCCTACACGAGATGAGGCAGGATAAAGAGGGATAATCCCCCTCGATCCCAAATCATTGAGGCCAATTTCTAGCCATAGAATAATGGCGGCGCACTCCTTGACATTCCAGTCTACAATAGTTCTTATATTTATGCCTATGTATACTTCTCTATTCTGTTGCCTATGGTCTATGGACGGCGGTTGTAAATTCAAACTCAGATTTTAGGTTATGTGTGTACTATTCCCACCACATACTTCTATGTGACTGTTCCACAGAATTAAAACGTACAAAAAAAATCTTCAAATCTTATCTGCGAAACTTACATAGTTGATAAGAAGATACCCATGATGTAGGCAATGTACTTGTTAAAGCGACATAGAACATTTTAGTCTATTTTAACAGGTCTTGCGACACGTAAATTTTTATTTGATTGTGTTAAAGCAAGGATTTGTAGCAGAATATTTTTAGTTTCGTTCCCGTAGACGTAAAACTGGTTTTTGTTGGTTATTGAACCTGGCTCCAATTGGACCCGAAGATGTTTTTAGACGATGAGACAGTAGTTGAGTACGAGGTAAATACATTTTCCAATAGGGAAATATTTCTTTTGTAAACCTTCACGTTGTAGCTCGAAAGGCAATCCTATAAGGATCTCCCACAATACTTATGCGTGTGTGGGATTCACAAGGCAGTCCTAGAGGGGGATTTTGGAAGTTTAAAGCGACGGATTGAATTGGGGGAGTGTGTAAATGAAAGACTATCCCGTTACAACTTTTCCGTCCTTCATTTAGCAGTTATAAAGAACAAGTGAGTTGTTTGAAAAACCAAAGTCTTCAATTCTTAATGCTAAATACACTTTTCCAGTGTAGAGATATTAGAATACTTACTGGCTAGAGAAGACGTTGATGTGGACGCCAGGTGCTCCGAAGGTAGGACGCCCCTATACCTAGCGACCGCGTTGGGCCGTATCGAATTTGTGCGGAAACTAATCCGAGCCGGCGCCGATGTAAACGTCTCAAGCTACGAAGACGAGCCTCTGTTACACATGTCGGTGCATTATCCCGACATCTGCCACCTCCTCATACGATACGGCGCCCCAATCGACGCCGTCAACAGCTGGGGCTGCACGTTGTTGTACGAAGCGGTGTACTGCGAGTGCCTGGAGGTAATGCACATGCTGCTGTATTACAACGCGGATCCCAACATCGCCGACGTGCACGACATCACCCCCTTCATGATGGCGCTCATGCACTGCAAGCTCGACGCCCAGGAGGCTCTGCTGGAGTACGTGGACGACTTCGACAGGGCCAGCTATGATTCCATGTGGTTCGGTTCGACGTTGAGTTTCGCGTTGCGTGGCAACTCGCCGTTTATCAGGGATATAATGGAGCGAGGCGCCGACGTCAATTACGGCGACGATCCCGAAACCAGAGAGGAGATTTGCGCGTTCTCCGCCTGCCTGCAGAACCCGGTGGATTTGTCTACGTTCAAGATGGTATGGGAGAGGCTCGTTTACAACGACACCAAGAACACGATCGATTTGCTGGATTTTTTGTACTACGACGAAGTGGTGCCGGCATTTCTCCAGGTTATAATCGAGAGCGACAATTTCGAACCTGCTTTGGAGTTCTTTTCCGAGAGCGGAAATTATTCGTTGTTTGTCGATAAATTTGCCGAGGAAGGATTTGAACTTGAACAACTAACCGTTCTGACGTGTCGTTTGTTGCAATACGGGTTTCGTGCGACTAGTCACGATGTACACGCGATTTTCTTTCACTACGGGTACTGCGAACTATTTAGGATGCTTTTGTATATGGATAACGACTTTACGCGGGGTTGGCTACCCCATATGGCTTATTCTAGGTTACTATTCGATATCGACTATGATATAGAGAGCGCCGTTGACGAAGTGGACGATATACCGGAGGAGAACGTGATGCAGTTATTGGAGTATTCTATTTGTTCTCGTTTAACCGATGCTCTAATTCTTCGGTATGGCGACGACGAACGTATGAGTAAAATTTTGACCGGCTTGCCGAGAGTGCCTTCGTTGGTAGAATTGGCCAGGAATGTTGCCAGGAAACACATTCGTCAAACTTTTAAAATCACCAACGCCTGCCAGTTTTACACTATACTGGACCGCTTCGATATACCGTCGTTCTGTAAGCGTGTTTTAATGTTTGAGAGAAAGATATACAGAATTGAACAAAAACTGTAAAATTTATGGAAATATAGGTCCTCGTTTGGCAAATAGAGCAATTTTTTTTAATACTGACACGATACAATGAAAACTTTTTGGAGCTGCTGACTTCACAGATACCTCTGTCTCTGTTCGCATACTTGCCGACGTTTACCTAAAACTGAATTAACTAACTTTTGCGTTCAGAACATCCACCTCTTTTTATGTAGTATGCAACTCAGATACGATTCCAGAGGTTCCCAACAAGTTTCAACAGTTTTGATTATTAAAAAATCCTTTCCAAGTTTATAAACACCCTATATTTTTGTTGTAATATTTTGTTGTATATATATATATATATATTATTAAAATTTGTTTTTTCTGAAACAGACATTTTTTTATATGAAAAAAAAAGGTAGACATTTATGCTTTCGAAAAACAATTGAAAGCAACTTTTGCATATATAAAGGTGTTTTGAAGAGTGTCAACGAATCTATCAGAGGCATCATCATCAGGAATCATTTTTTAGTTAGGACATCAACGATATTGTAAAATAAACTTGATATATACAGGGTGTCTCATAATTAGCTGCCATCCCTGAACAGGCCGATTCTATGATCAAAACTAAGTAAAAAAGTTCATATGAACATGAGTCCGGAAATGCTTCCTAAGGGCACAGGGACCCATTGAAG